TATCTTTCATTCATCCGGTAACTCTGTAATAAATGCAAGATGTTGAAGGGAAAGGAGCCAAATATTAGTGTGGTCCTAACAGAGCAAGCAAATAATGGAGCTACTTAAATTTCTCATTCTTCTTTTGTGATTACACTCAAACCTAAAATGTACACCGATGTTATTTCTGTATAGATAGTTTTGTGAGTATTGTTAAAACTTTTCAGTAATGTTTATAATATAATGATTTTTTTTTTAAGGAATTTGTAGATTTTTTAAATTTAAGCCCAGCAGGCTGTCAATTATTGCAGAGTGTAAGGAAACATTAATGTAGTGGAGAGCTGCTGCATTATCAGGGTGGTCTTACCAGGTCAACTCTGTGGGCGAGGTGGCAGCTTTGAGCTGCACCCAGAAGCGTGATGACAGTGACAGTAACTTCCCTGTCACCCAGGCCTGGCGTGGTTTGCACTGAGTTTTAGGACTTTGGTCACTGAAGACGTGGGGTTCCAGACATGAGATCTGCTCTCTCTCAGCCTCAGCTGATGTGGGGCAGAAATGGTTCTCTGTGCACAGAGGTCTCTGGTGTTTAGGTTGACTTGGTTTTGGGAAAATGGTTTCCATGCTAAATATTCCTGCGTTGGACCTGTGGAAAGAAAAGAATGTGGGTTTGAACAGATTCATAATCCAGCGAGTTGAAAGTTGCTTAACCTTGCCTAATGCTCTCCATCTAAACCGTACAGCTGCTTGCAGAACATGGATCTCAATAGCTCGTGAAGGGCTTGTATGAGGGAGGGAAGCAAATGAGCTTTCTCCATGCATAGCTATCATATATCAATCCAGATTTTCTTGGAAAACTTCTATCCAAGTGTGTTCCCTGAGACCACATCTGATGCCTGCCATGCACTGTGAGAAAACCAGGTTTCATGAGATGAAGGCAGTCCTGAATGTAGGCTCTGGCGCTGCCATGTGTGTCAACTCGCTGTTCAGCAGATCTTCTCTTCAAGTCTTTTCTTGAGGTTATGTTGCTGTTTGTCCAGGAGCCTAGCAAAATAAACAGCTCCTTGGAATACACTCAGAGAGATTTTTGTGGCTGAAAGAGTGGCAAATTGATGCGTGACAGTTGTGCATTTTTGATTCTCATTCTGAGGATGAGGCTGCAGGAGAAGAAGTGGTGGCCTGGACACAAACTCAGAGAGCCCTTGCATCAGACTGGACTCACATGGAGGTGACAGCAATTTAAAAGCACAGGCAGCTATTCCTGCTGAAGGGAGGTAAAGTAAGTCAGTGGATGTAGTGTTTATGTGATGTGAGGAATGAGTCACAGCTATAGTGCCTGTACTGCTACTTAAAAATCTACTTGTTCTTCCACAAATAGACCTCCGGGTGGTGAAAAAATAGAGGAGATATTTGGAAAATGCTGGTACACCAGCACTGGGCAGAGTGATACCTAACCTCCTCCATCTGTTTCTCCCTGTAACACTATTCTTTAGCAGAAACACTAAAATTCTGCAGCTTTTTGTGGCATGCAATGTGTTTAAATCAGGATTAAATCCCAGTGAAGTCAGCAGTGTTACACTGATGCAAAAGCTGGTGTGAGGTAAGTCAGGAATCCTTTGTGATTTTTATTGCATCAGGCATATGAAGTGTAGCTGGTGGCTGGCTGAAGAGAAGGACTACATCTTGTGTGTCAGGATGGCTATATTTTTGTCAGAAGGGAGCTAGTGCTCCCAACCAAGCTGTGCCATGCTCAAGGTGAATAAACAGGAATGCTGTACATGCAAAGCAATGTTTTCCAATCTGTGTGTGCTAGACTGAGCATAATGCAATTTTTAGTGTATGTGAGAGGTAGGACCCAGGCTGGAGGCCCAGCATGTGAACTGGCAGGCCCTGTGCTGCTGCTGGAGCAGCAAACCCAGTGTGGCATCTCCTCAGAACAGGGCTCCTCTCCAGAAACTCATTCCGTAACCCCAGCGGTGCAATGGGAAGTTTCCAGAGGTGAGCTGTGTTTGGTCAGCTGTGTTTTGAGTTGTCCAGGCACATCAGTGGTGGCATCTAGTGTTTGGTGAGCGCATGATAAATGGTTTCAACAAAATTCTCCCTGTGGAAGGTGGTGTTGCCTGACTTTCATTAAAGAGTTACCAGTGTGTGAGTTCAAAATCTGAATCTGGCTGTTGTTTCACTTTCTGTGTAGTCTTAAATCAAAAAGGAGCTTCTGAGGAACGTGAGAACAAACCTTATTCTCCATATTCCTATTTATTTTAATACTAGTGGAAGGCAGAAATATACGTAACGTCTTCATCAAGTGTTGGGTTATTTTGGTTAAGGCTTATTTCTGCTCAGAATCAATATATTTGCAATTTATTCAGTGCTGCTGGGGAGCTTGTGTCAAGGGCAGTGAAAGATGATCAAATTATTCTCTCAGTGTATCTTTAGGCTTAGAAATCAGCTTTTTATGAGTTCCTAACTGTTTGAAGTTTGCTGTATTTGACTGCACAGATGAGCAGCTGATCTAGTGGACAGTGGTAAATCTTCCTTGGGATTTAGAAACTTCACACAAAGTGCCATACAAGGTGGACTAAAAGCACATAATTAATCACTATAGCAGCTGCCTGCTCTGTACAACCAGAATGCAAACTGTCCATTGTTGCCAAGCCATTATTTCTAATTTAAAGGTCTAAGAACAGTAATTGGATTGTCTCAAATGTCTCTTAATGCCTTAAAAAGGAAAAAAGACCTGTATATTTCCTTCTGGAACATCACTGACTGCAGTCGTGAGTCATTTTTTGTGTCTCAGCAATGGTGATAAGGAGGCAAACGATACCTTACGGGTGTTTGCAGCACATCTACAATCACCAGCAATATTTCTGGGCTGTATTTTTAGCATTGGGGCTCTTTTTGCAGGAGGAATGAAGCTACATGCCATTACAGTTTCCCCTTATACAATGAAAGATTACATTCCTACTTGTCTCAGAATAACACAGAATTTCATTTAATTGAATATAGGATTTTCATGGTCAAGAGGCTTGAAAATAAAATGCAACATGATTTCTAGTCTACAACCAGTATCCCAGGAATCTGCTGAGGTCTGTTTTCTTGGGATGTATGTTGTCATCGGTTGTTTTATTCTCATCTTTCACTGGGGTTGTCATTTCTCAGGAAAATAAGGGTACTTGCACATTCATAAATGAATTTTGTTTAGTTTTCAGGAAAGGAGAATGATGTCTGCAGTTCTGCCTTTGTGGATGTGGAAGGTAAAGGAACAGCACAGGACTGTTGGCATTGTAGATGACAGTCCCTACTCCCATAATTTAATGATAAGCTGTAAGGGACTGTGTGTAGGGAGGAAACTTAAACCACTGTTTTCATGTTTTAAATATTTCTTTTGAGTTTTTTGTATGATAAAAATTACGTTTAGTTTTCCTCTAGAAATAAAAATACACACAGAGGTGATGTGACAAAAACTTCCAATAGTGTGCGGTAGCACAGAACAACCTGCTCTACAGTTTGTATCAAGATTTCCGTCATAAATCTAATTTTCAGAATTGTTACCAGCTATAAAAGTGCTTCAGACTGAAACTTGGCAAGGTGTTTCTCTGCCCAAGAATAAACTGTCATCTTTTTCAACTGAAGTGTATGTGGATTCTTTATTTCTAGGATTTTATAAGCACTTCCAGAGTATTAGTTGCTGTAATACTAGTGGGAATGCTGAAGTGATTTTTCTGGCAGAAGAATGCAGTGCGTGTGTGCAAAATACTGATGATTTAATATACAAGGAGATATGCTGTAATATCTGTTAAGTTAAACCACACTTTGTGGTAAAAGGGACTGTAATGCTTATCATACCAAGCGAGTGAGTTATCCAGGGAGATGTCATAGGGGAAGGCACCGAGCAGGCTTTGCTGCAGAACTTTGCCAGCATGTGCTAATCTTGACTTACATTATTGTATCTGATCCTTTGTTGGGCTGATCTGTGAGCGACTTGGGTTTGTGGTGCAGTGCAGTGAATCACATGGTGACGTTCGTATGAATGTAGAGTAGGATTAGACCAAAAACCCCATTATCTGGCCAGTCCTCAGGAGGTATAATGTGACAGGTCTCCTGCCTTGACTGGAACTACTTGCCACCCAGAGGAGTGCAAGAATGATTTATGTCAGAGGCTTTTTGTTGGAGAGCTTCCAAAGAAAGCAGTGGGAATGGTGTGGATTGCTATCTTCTGTGTCATTAAAAATAATCTGGGGAACTGATCGCTTCCTTACCCTGTCCATGGATTGTAGTGCCCCAGTCAGTGGTTTGAGTGTATAATATTTGCCATGTGCATTTTGAAATGTGTTAACTGTGGAACTTCTTAAACATTATTTTTTCTTCACTTTTGAAAATGGTATGGTTACAGGAGATAGGATTTTTCTGACTTTATTATTTCTTTTTTGGTTTTGGGTCACAGCAGACTTGATGTCAAGTCCTGCCCAACCACTGGCTGGTCTCCACACCTGGCCAGTGTTAACAGGGAGAGAATTTATTTACACAGCGTTTTTCCTTCATCCTGGAGTTGTACTTTGCAAGAAGTGCCTCTCAAGCCACCTACTCACAGAACTGTGAAACAAAAGCTTCAGCTTCTTTTTGTATTTATTTATGTCACAATCTCTCATTGAGCTAGAGGGATATTTTGGAAATATACCCAGTTGAATGCCCAAATGCAATGTCAGTTCCAAAAGCTTGTGCTCACAGGAGTCTGTGCGAGTCCTTCTTTGACTATCAAGTTTGAGTCAGGGTCTAGCTAGGGAGAAGAGAGTCATCTTTTTTAAAGAAAATAATTGTGTGTTACGTGTTACCTTTATTTATTATGCACAGGTATTATTTAGGTGACTTTCTAATCATGTTACTGGTGAAAACTGTATTACTGTAATCATATTGCAGATTCCATGTAACTGTTGGTGTTCCTGTTCAGGACAGTGTTAGTCCTGTGACTGAGATAGTGCCTGCTGTTAACCTCTAATTCTTTCTCTCCCCTGCCCCTGTTTTAGAGGCCTTTGAGTCTTTGCTTCGCTTTGCTGAAAACCACACAAGCTCCCTGTTTGAGACAGCTTACAGACCCATGGCAAAAGAAGCAGCAGAGCCTGTTAAGGAGCTTTTTACAGACATCTCTCTCTACATTCTGGGCGCAGAGACTACAGTGGAAAGTGCAGTATTGCGGTTCTTTGACAGTCTCTTTCCTCTGGTGTATAGTCGGCTAATAAACCCAGGAATTACAGATCTATCAGAGGACTATACAGAGTGCCTGCGGCTCACAAGGCAAGACATAAATCCTTTTGGACACTATTCTAAAAACATGGTTACAGAGCTGTCAAAATCTCTTTGGGCCAGTCGGATGCTCAGCCAGGCCCTGAGCCTGGGCATTGAATTGATAAATACTACTGAACACGCGGCTCTGACGAAGGAGTGCAGCAGAGCCCTGGTGAAGATGCAGTACTGCCCACACTGCCAGGGCCTGACGCTCATCAGACCCTGCGTCGGCTACTGTCTGAATGTAATGAGGGGCTGCCTGGCCAGCGTGTCAGAGCTGGATGCACAATGGAGGGAGTACATCTCCACACTGGAATATCTCACTAATGAAATGGCTGCCTCGCATGATCTGGAAATTGCACTGTCGGGAATGTGGAACTCCATCAATGAAGCCATCCTGCACGCACAGCTCAACGGGCCGCAGCTCTCTGCCACAGTAAGTGCTCTCTGATTATTAGCTACTCCCATTTATCAGTTTCCTTATTTGGTGGATAAACATTTAAACGAGTTGGTGTTGTCTTTGCGTCAATTTTTAGTCTTCACTAGATCTTTGTTTAATAGTACACGAGAACATTACAGGCAATTATCATGGGGTTCAGTAGGGTCTGCTCCGAAATGAGAGGGTTGGGGGGGAGTTTGTTTCTTGAGAAGCAACACTGTAAAGCATAGAGCTCTGCCTTGGCTGCACAGTTTTCTAAGCAAAAATTTGGAGTCTGTTATGCTTGATAATGAGTAAGTGTTTCCCTGGCATGTGGGGACATTCTTCAGGAATTGCTCTAAGGGTCTAGAAAAGCAAGTTTCTAAATAAAAGCAAAGAAATTAACTTTCACAGTTTTACAGTCCCTTTACTTTTGTGTTGACTGAGACATTAGGAAGGTAGTACAGGTCCATTATAAGAACACCCATCCTACAGAAGCTGGGAAAAGAGCATGAAAAAATTCAAACTTTTTTGACAGCCTTTATGTAAGTAAAGGATAAAAATGCACTTAAAGCAGATCCAGTTTTGTAAGTGGTGCAGATAAAAGAAGAAAGAACTAGGATGGTAGAACTGTCACATAAATGATTGCAGCATATGACGGGCAGGTGTTCTCTCAAGGTGTTGAAGATTAGACCAGAAATGACTGAAATGACTAATGATGCAGCTGACTACATCTGGTATGAAGTTCAACACAACTGTCAATGGGAAACAAAATGTAGCAGCACGGCCTTAAGCAAGGTAAAGACTAATCTTAGAAATGCAGACGGGTTTGCCTGTCTTGGAAATAAAGGAATTCTTGCAGAGAACAAATAAGAAGAAAATGCACAAATCAAAAAATTTAATTACTGTGCAGAACTCTGGTCATCATATTCACATAAGAGAAAAAACAGTCTAGAGGGTCTACAGAAAGAAGCAGTGGCAGAGGGTATTCTAAACTAGGGAGGTGTTTTTATAGGGGAAAAATGCTTGTGTGCTTGCAGCCTTCCAAGATCCCTAATATTGCAGCTGTCGACTGTAGAACACTTGACTGAGCCCAGAGATTTATGATCAGTACAATATGTAGATTATAAAAAACCCCAACCACTTCCAGTAATCTGATAAAATTTCACTGGATATTGCTCTGTTTATGTTGCTTCAGTTGTCCTTTCCTTTTCATGAATGACACTCGTGTCTGCTGGTTTATCTGACATGCAGGGATAAATACAAAAAATTTCTAAGAAAAGATTTTTCCAGGTTCTGGAATAGTGCACAGCAGGCATTGGAGCCTGCGTGCATTGCAGGTCTTCATGGTGATAATGTCTAGTAGTGTCACCATGTATCTGTTAGGCAGTGTAAAACTTAGAACAGGTAATGGACAGTGTTCAGGCATCTGCCCTTATTTTCACTCGTAAGTTGTTTTTATATGAGTCTAGAGAGGAACTAAAAATCAGAGTACATTATTACTGTATATTGATTTTTTATGACTATAGATGGATACCTCATATCATTCCACAGCTTCATTGCTGATTACACAGGAGTAATTAGGAATCAAGTTCAGTTTTCTGACTACTAGCAGGAAAAGTGGTCTGACATATTTGTTGTGATATCTGATGCTAAAGCATAACTCTGCATTGCATTTGTCAGCCTCATAGTTCACATGCACTTGTTTAGCTTACTGAGGGGTAAAATTCCTAATCCAGGTGAATATTGGATAATGGTGGATGAACTCAACGAGTGTATTGCTTTCAGGTGACTTGGAAATAGAATTCTCTCTGAAGCATCTTTCAGGCTCAGGATTCTCTTTAATGATGATTCAATTAGTTTTATTTGGGACTTTTTCCATTCCCTAGCAGTATGTTTAAATATTTTCCTTCTTTCATTCAGAATGAATTCAGAATGCGCTGTTGTGTTTGAAACTTCATTAATTCTTTTTTCCCCGAAATTATCTTTTATCTTGTCTCACTGGTGAAATCTCCATGAGCAAAATGTGTGTTGTTTTAGGGACTGCTCAGTAGGATGGCAAAGATGTTTTCTGTTTTACAATAAAAACCGTGCCAGTGTGCGTTACCCTCAGCCCTTTCAATTGTCAGCAGGGTAAGATTATATTTGGAAGATAGAGCATGTTTCACTATTTGAACAAGCATTAATCTGATACTGATTTAAAGTTTTCCTGATTAGTTACAGAGGAGAACCATTATTTAGAAAATTGAGCCTAATTAAGCTGTACTTCCCTCTCTGAAGAAACGGAAAAGAGTTGAGTCCTCAGCTTCAGGATTTCCGGCTGGAGATGGCTTCTCAGAATCCAGGCTTGGACTCTCAGTGACGCTGGGGCCATTTGATTTGTATTTCCTGTTTGTTTTATTTATAGGATTATTTTTTTTCCCCTAGAAAAGATAATTTCTCTTTTCCCTTCAAAAATACGTGGAGATCTTTCTCGGTCCATGCAGTGTGCTCTTCAGCTTCTGCAAAAGTGGAGATGTTTAACTTACATACAGTTTCCATTACAAATGCTGTAATTGGTTTCATTCAATTATAAATAATCTATGGAAAACTCATCCAGGAAAGCAGAGCACTCTTAGTAATTTTCATTTATCCTGAGGCAGCCTAATTAATGTACCTGCCCTTTTAGGAAACATTTTACATTTTTAATAGACAGTATGGCTAAAAATTAGGGTTCTTTTTTTGTCTTGCTTCCTGCCTGGATGATAATGAATAATGGAAAGTTAGATTATGTTTTCTGTAAAATGGAGAAGGGGTGAAACAAACCAATAAAGCACTTAGGGTACTTTGTTCAAATGAGGTGCAGTCAATTGATATTAAATTTAAAAATAAAAATCCTATTTGTATGAAGAGTGCATCACTTCAGGAGACTGGCCTCTGCTGATCTCGTCCATTACAGCCAGGAGAATTGCCTGATTTGCTGGGATAGCATGTGTGAAAGGTCACCTTTAAGATATTGGTAATCTCTCCTCAGATTTCTGTGGAATGTGCTGTGCCATTTGTTCAATGATGCTGGCTGGTCTCCAGCTTACTTAACCTAATGTGGGCCAGTCCCGCTCTGCAGCATCAGCAATCACTGTCATCACTGCTTTCTGCTTGGGCTGCTCAATCTTACTGTCTTATTGGTAGAAGCCCTTCCTTATCGTTTTGAGACTTTTTCTCTTGCTTTTTCTTTTTGTGCCTTTGTGTGGTCTCGTTTTTCATGTGCTCAGTCTACCATCTTGCTACAAACTACATGCATCCTTCCGGGTTCATTTTTTTAAGTTTTACTTTCTATTCAAATGAAAGTAAAATACCCTCAACTATAAATGTGAGGAAGAGGAGAGGCAGTTCTGCAGTGGATGTGGCCACTGGCACTTCAGGCAGGTGGATCACCAGGCAGAGTAACAAATGCTGTCTGTGCCCACACTCCCAGGTCCCAGTGAGGTGTTCTAGTTGCTTGTGTAGGGCTAGTGAGGGCTTGACTTTCAGCCCATCTCCAGAGGGACAGGGGTCATGTATGGGGACAGATACGGGAAATGGAGGTAGGGAAGATTTCTGTTGGATCAGAAATGGTTGGAGTCTGACCAGTCTCACTAACTATAGGTCTGCACCTCCAGTAATACATGGCATATATCCCAGTACTTTCAGTTTTGGGCTTCAATGAGGCTTGGTCATCTTTCTCCCACAGTGGCACTGCTTCCTGCTCTGGATCCAGCAGGCACCAATGATCTATGGGATGGGTTTCCTGCTGGACAGGTGGGCACTCACAAGTCAGTGCCCTGCTCAGATTTCCTTTAGCTTTGACAGTTCATGGTTACACAGAGATTCACCTCTCCTATCTGTGGAACAGAATATACATCAGAGGAGTGTTCTGAGGTTTGATAGCAAAAGGATGATTCTTTCACTTCCTAGATTATCTAAGCACCTGAGATGCATTTGCTCACACAGGTGAGCTCTGACCCTGCGTCCTCTCTGGCAGTGGGGACTTGTTCCTTGCCCCACAGTGTGCTCGGTGCTGTGCAGGTGGCTGACAGGGATTGTGTGTATTGCTGTGCTTGGGTGGTGCTTCAGCAGCCAGCTGTGGGAGCTGCCAGCCCTGGGATTGGGTGCTGTTCTCCATGTCTTAATCCCAAGGGCAGTGAGGCCATTGGCAAATACCTCTGTGTGTTGGGGTTCCATTTGTCAAGGGTAAAGCAGAGACAAGATTTTCAAAGAAACAACATTTTATGGTCTGAATAGAACTCGAACACTTAATTACTCTTTCTTTTAAACACACTTCCCAGTTATTGCCACAACTTCTGCTCCTCATGTTGCTTCTTGTGGAACTTGCCTGCCCTCCCACATGGTGGAAAACGCAAAGGGATGTGTATTAGCAGAAATATTTAGGATGTGGGAAGGTGTGTGTTTTTCTCTGTTCTTGCTGCAAGAAGTTCATAAGCATAAAGTACTTATCTTGTTACTAATGTTATAGTGGCTGAAAAAGCATTAAATGAAGAGAATGTAAAAAGCCACAGACCTGATATTTTTAGAATGGCCAACTGTTATACAAGAGCAAAGTCCAACATATTGTGTTTCATGATTATAGGAGTAATAAAAGCAAAAGCTAATAAAAAGCTTAATAGGGATTATAAAACCAAGATATGATCAGAGATTAAGCATTAGGAGAAAGCAGAAAGATCTGCCTTGAGGCAGTTAATTTCTTGGAGACAACCTTACAAGTTAATGTGATAAGAGTGATGTAAAAAAGCAATAGAAGAATAAACTTTGGGAAGAGGAGCAGATAGAGGCAGGAGAAATACAAGAAGGGAGGGGTGTTTAAGGTGCAAGATGCTTGGATTTGTAGGAGTGTCAGGAAATAGTGATTGTGAGAGAAAAAAATCTGATGAAAATCAGTGACAGTCTTTCCATCGGTTGTGAAGACATGGAGGAGAAGGATGGATAATACTGAGAAGAGATCCGCTAAATACCATTTGTATTTTAAAGGGAACTGGTTTAAG